TATCAACATTGTATAATATTAAAAATGAGTATTATAATGAAAATCTGTATCGTAACGAAGTTCATTATAATACAGATTTTAATCGTTTAATAGCGTATTATGAAATGTCAGTAGAAAATAGTATATTATGCAATGATCATGTAATGATAGCCATTAATACACGAGCATGTTGTAGGATACGAAACGAGCCGCAGGCGAGTTTCGTATATAACATGCGAGTGTATTAATGGCCATTACATGAGAGTTGCATACACTATTTTTTCTACTGCCATTGATAAAACTTGTGATATTTAGATATGTCAACATTTTGCTTAACTTTGAATAGAGATTTTATAATTGAGTAACCCATACAGTTGAAGGTTTCATTTTTTGTTGTAATTCTTCAAAATATACTATCAAAACATTTTTTGAGAAGGACGATGTGTTTTTGGTGTTTCCAATCCATAAATTGTCCATATATTTTTTCGCAAATTTTCTTGGACTTGTCCGGTAGTGTATTTTTACCTGCATTTGTCGCCCTTTCTGTAATTTCTGGAGGTGTTAGTGAAAATTCTTCGTTATCACTCTATATTTCCATAATAATGCCTTATCCCAAACATTGGGTGACTTTTAATAACAATTTGAAGTATTTTTTTCATGAAATTAATGAAATTATTGTTTTTCGCTAAATTACCATGGAAAAGCTAAAAACAGAGTGCTGTCATCATTCAAAAAATTCAATATTTCTCAACTGGTGGCGCCATCTATTGACAATGTATAATAATGAAAAAAGTAAAAATTCTTCCTTATCACTCATTATTTCCATAATAATTATTCTTTGTCCCAAACTTTAGGTAACTTTTAAACAATTCGAAGTCTTTTTTATAGTTATTAAAATAATTGTTTCACGCAAAATTACCGTTAAAAATGTTTAATATCTTAACTAGTGCTGCCATCTATCAACATTGTATAATATTAAAAATGAGTATTATAATGAAAATCTGTATCGTAATGAAGTTCATTATAATACAGATTTTAATCGTTTAATAGCGTATTATGAAATGTCAGTAGAAAAAAACTTTTTCCGCACTGATATGTCAAAAAAAAAAGTTTTACCGCACCGTGCGGGAAAACTCATTTTCCGCACGCATATCAGTGCGGAAAATCGATTTTTCCGCACGGGTGTAGGAAAAACATTTTTTATTACGCATGCATCATAATCAACGATTATCGCACGCTGCAGCGTGCATAAAATGATGTTTATGATGCGTCTACCTTTTCAAAGGTTTGCTATAGAAACGTTTGATCTACCTTCATTACCTAGATATTTACCTGCCGTTTAAATTACTATTTATCAAAATGAATGCACATTTAAAACTTTTTTGAGAATATGATGCATTCGTTATAAAAAATAGCGCATGATATGCGTGTATAAGAGCATTTAAAGCCCTTGCGACTTACAAAACATTCCGCTGCGCGTCGTGTTTTGAAATATGTCGCGCGTGCTTTAAATGCCCTCTTATACACTTTATACCCAACAAACACAGTACGTACTGAAGATGTACATTTTAGGTCCGTTTTACGTCGGTTCGTCGGGGATGTAAAAATACGTTTTGAGTACGTACGTAAAAGGCTGTATTGATATACAGACAAAAAAGTACGTACTAAGAACGTACGTGAAAATCTATATTGTGTACGTCTTGTAAAAGACGTACATGTTCGTTTCAAAGACGAACAATACAGGACGAGCTGGATCATTCCCATCTATTCATGATTTTTTTATTAATTCCTGACTCGATTTCTGATAATAATATATTTTTTAATAATATGCAATTTCCAAGGAAAAGATACGGAAGTGATCCTTCCAAATTAATCTCTAAACCCTAAACCCAAAAATGCCGGTCAGGTTGACATGGAAAATTCTTATTATTAAACCTTAGATCTAAACTTAAATAAGGCAGGTCATATAATCAAGGATTTATATTTCATCTAGGTACCTGACCTGTGACCCTAATAAATTGTCAAATGTTGAAATAAACATGAAATAAACCAATAGAATGGAAAACAGGAAGGGACGCCGGCCACTTGCATCGGCAGGGTGCAGTGTTGCCAATGACCCGATAATTATCGAAATCTATAATTTTGACTACGATTCAATAATCGATAATCTCAAGCTAAATCTACTATAATTTATTGAAACTACAATTTCAATGCATATTTTTAAAATTTTTAGTTGAAAATTAAAAATTTATTTGGTTGGTGGTTTTGACGTTTCCCAGCTAGAAATGGATTGAGCTGGCAACACCGTTTGCCTCCTTTGAGTTGAGGCTGTGGGTGTTCCTGTCTGATTTTGCCTTTTTGGTCTTGTATGTGTAGCGTGTAGCTCGTTTGTAGTGTGGTGTGAGATCGTTGTTTTCTTCTATTTTTTTTTTTACCAAGTAAAGTGACGCGGGAACCATTTTGTTTTGATTGCAGTAACGCCAGCAACGTGTTTAGCTTTGTTTTTTGTGTATAATAATAATACTATTACCAAGATTTTTACTGTGTGAAACTTTTCTTGATTTGTGCCCGTTTACAATTCTCTCAATGTTTGTACCTACAACCTTATACCTACCTATTTTTTTTATATTTACTGTTGTTTAAGGTTGAGGTTAAGTTTAAGGGTATGTTATATTTTATAATTGATCTTATGTTATTTATATTTTTTAGTTTTTTAATGTAATTGTTAAGATATTTATTGTATAAAAATTGCCACTTTAAAATACAATATGTATATCCTGTTCACAAGCCGATGTCCACAGGTTCAGGTAAATTTATCACCTTTCCCTATCAAATAGCATTGAAATGTGATTTTACCTGTACCTACCTGTGGACATCGGATTGTGAAGGGATAATTGTTTTATTTTTCGCTATAAACATACATATAAATACATATGTGTGATGTTTATGTTTGCCATATATTTTTGCAACCCATCTGAACAGGTTAACTGAATAGGTACCTATCAAAAAGGTGTAAATACAACATTTGTATTTACATCTTTTTGATACCTACCTATCCAATCAATCAGTGCCGGTGGGGTGTAAAAATATATGGGAAAACCCTGTACCTACGTCCCAAACACATTCCTAAAAAGCTATACTAAATACGTACGTTAATGTACGTCCCAAATACGTACCTAAAAAGCCGTACTGCGTACGTACCTAAATGTACGTACGTGGGACGCACTATTTTGTGGAAAACGACCGTCATAAAGACGTCCCTCGTACGTCGGCGGGACCTAAAAAGTACGTCCGCGGACGTACTTTCGTCCGAAAAAGTACGAATTATGGACGTACTAAAGACGTACTTGTGTTTGTTGGGTATCATAATATACTATTTCAAAACTGGTTTAAGTAATGTCACCATGACGTCATGATTTCTCGGCGCGAGAAAATGGTTTGAAAATGTGGATTGGATTGTATTTCGAAACGGTTTGAACCAAATTTGACGTGACGTCATAGGTTTATCGCGAGAATGTACTCTTCCAAAACAGTTTTGAACCAGTTTCAAAAAAGTGGACGCGAGAAAACGTCTCACTCTTTCATTGCACAAACAAACTAGCATCTGCAAAAAGTTTCTTTCTGACGATTGAAAAATAAATAATTCTCGTCAAAAATCATTTTCTGTAACTTGAAAACATTCTACATAAGAAAATGTTTGGCTTGATTTTCTCTGCCTTTCCATCCATAGACGCGTTTCGACCTATCAGGTCTCATCAGAGAAAATCAAGCCAAACATTTTCTCATCAGTGGGATAATAGGTTTTCCTATTCTGGGTTTTCCCACGAACTGAATTTTGGTCGGCCAATTAGATAGTCAGTCACTATATTGCAGCAAAAATTGCTGTTTAGTGTTGAATCTTTGTCTTAGATGGCGCCACGATCAAATTTCAACCGTTGTATTACCTACATATTTAAAAAACTGCTGATTGCAGATTGCATCACTCATTAAACAATAAACATTGTCCGCACATATTAGGAAAATCTAACCCAAACAAAATAATATACTTTAACGTCAATTTGGCAACGCAGCACTCCTTGCCTTTAACAACTCCTCTCTCATCGGTGAATTCACCGATGAGTTAGCTATCTTTGTTTAGTGAATGGAAAATGACAATGACGGCCATAGAATGGTGGATCCATCGGTAAAATTTGATGAGAATAAAAACGCAGGGCAAGCGTCTGCGGATCACACGGAGGCAACGCCACGAATATGATCGAAAGTGTACGAACGAAACTTTTAAAATTTGGCGCGACGCGACAAACGGCGGCTCCTTAGCATTTTTGTTTACCGTCTCTTTATTTATTTGACACAAAATTATTAATTATAATTCGATAGTTTTTCTTATTATCAATGACATGAAAGGGAGTTTTCGAGAAACTCTCACCCAAAAAATACATGGAAAACACAATTCACAACAAAAATACATCTTCAAAAATAATGAAGTCCATAAGATGCCCATTAAACTGTGATTTTATTACCGATAGCAAAGACATTATTGTTTTACATATTACAAAAATTTTCACGGTAACAACTTAGACCCCAAGCCAAGAATTTAACATTTAATAATAAGGAAGACTTTTTTGAGTGGAAAAGAAAATTAGAGCAAGATACTATCAGAGCACAGTTTATAAAATATGGAACTGTTGAAAGGAAAAATGGTATACAATAATTATTTATTCTATTTTTCACCGAGATGGAAATTTACATAAACGCATTAAATTCACATTACGTATAGGTATTACGCTTACATAAACAGGCTTTATCGAATATCGATTTATTATTTAATAGCCATGCTCGCAAGCTCGCTCGGTCATAAAATTATTCGTACAATAAATCCTTTCTTTATTGTACTTGTTATTTAATGTTATTTATATAAATAGCTATTATTCAACAATCTAGATTGAACACTGTGCCTTTGAAAATCTTACAGAAACAGCTTGGTTGTGATACAGCCTACAAATCAACTGTGAAGGGCGAAGGGCGATGTATCATTGGATTGTTCCGCCTGACGTTATCAATTATTTTTTTGTACCCGGGTCCCAGCTTGATACACCATCCCGAAAAAATTAATTCTCATTAGTTTTTCTAAAATTTTCAGTTAAATATTATCGATATTTCATGAAATGGAAATTGCAAAATAATCCTAGAATATAACAATAAATATTCATCAGGATTCAGGACAAGGAGGCGGAGGCGTCAAAAAACAAACAGCAAAAACGTTATGGGCGCTGTATTCGTGGCGTTGCCTCCGTGTGATCCGCAGACGCTTGTTTGTCTTTCTTAACCTTTGAATTGTTTTGGGGCTAGCACCAAGCTCTTGTCATGTTAACTGGTTATCATTCTTAGGAATGTTAGGTATAGGTATTAATTATAAATCTACTGAACTGTACTAGAAATTAAGTCAAGTAATGTATCTTAAATTCTGCACACGGGCATCTGTATGCCTTGCAGAACCACAACAATGTAATGGGTTATAGGTATGTCGTATTAAATTATGGAATCCAATTTTTGTAATTTTGAATTTATATTCATTAAATAATAAATAAATTAAGGTTAGGATTAAGGATTAAGATATTAAAATTGTTTTAGAAAATTAGGCTTCACATCTTTATAACATAAGTAATTATAAAATTGAAAAATTTGGCAAACCTTACCCCATTGTAAATCAACATTTAAATAAATAAATTTAAAAAAAATAAAAAAAATACTATTCCATAGGCCGAAAAAAAAAAAAAAAAGAAACATGCCCATTATTCTTAAAGTGGGCAGAGTTCAGCAATCTGTTGGGGGTTTAATACAAATTTTACTGCTTATAATAGGCTGGTTCGCAGAATACAAAATAGTTATTAAGGTTATAAGGCCGATAAATAACAAATAACGGCTGAGCTGAAGTTTTTGATCTGGATTATGCTGGTATTTGCAGTTATCGGCCGTGATTCGTTCTAAATTTTTCGTCATACTACAGATATCTTTCAATCTGACAAAAAAAAACACCCTCCTATAGGCGTATGTTTGAAAATAACCTCCGGCGGCCCTTATTTTAACCTGGCTGTTTATTTAAATTTTAACCAGCCGGCGGATAAGTGGTGAAATACACCTTTTCGATTTCAATTTCGCTCCATTCGATCTCTCAGTGTTTTTTATTAGTTTCTTTTCCATCAAAATCATTTATTCAATATTTCTATCATGTACGTAGCAAAAGAAAAAAAAATCCACATAAAACTCCATCATTTGAATCTATATCGACTAATGTACTTGTCAAACACAAACACAATTTCACTTTATTTTCTTATTTTACTCAAATACCTATTGAAAACATTTAAATGTGGGTGTTGAACCATGTCGAGTTTTGTCAAATGAAATGTAGAGAGAAATGATTTGTAGGTAAAATCTGAATGAAATGAAATGATTTGTATAACATAAAAATAATAAGTATTTATTTTACTACTAAAGAAATTAATAATAATTAAAAGGGTTTTCTATATACACTCACTATCACAAAAAAATCTATTTTAATCTTTTGGTATCATTTATCTTTAGATAGGTATATACAATCACATTAAAAAAATGGGTTTTCAGTGTTTATTCCTTCCCTGATTGCATTAATTTAAAGATTTCTTCAAGAATAATGCAATGTTTCTAGTCTTGATTTTTTTTTTAAGGAAACAAGCAAAAATTGAGGCATAATTCAAAGTGTTCAGGGACACAGTTCTAAATGCAAATTGCTGCCGATATTATGACTAAAACTAATAACAAATAAAGCTAATAAAAATGTGTTTTATTGAAAAAGCGAGTGAAAAAGTAAAAATAAATTATTGACTCAAGATTTAAATTTTAAAAGAGGTATCACTTTGCTTTTGCTATGGCCATTCCAACTCCTACGATTGCTCCCACAGCCAAAACTACCCCACCTGCTGTAAGTATTCCTACTATTCCTTCTTTTTCCAGTTTCTTTTTGATGTTTTGCTCTAGACTGAGAACTTGTTGATTTCCTAAACAATATTTTAAATTAATTGAGGAGTTCAAGTAGATTTTAGACAGGTGAAAGTTTTTACCTGGTTCAAGAATCAAAAATGACCTAACATATTTCAAAGCTGTTGTATATGCTTTTAGTCTAGCATTGCCAATAGCCAAGTAATACAAATAGTCCCTTTGCCCTTCTTCATGAGTTTTATAGAGTTCCTCCAATAAAACTATTCCTTTTTGTATGTCAGCTGGGTATTTGCTTCTGACGAGACACCAGGCATATTCGAATTGTGCCTTTGGAGTTACATCATTTTTGTAGAGTTGCTGGTGGTAGATTTTTTCAAATTTCTAATAAAAAAATAGTTATATTATTTTTCAAGAATTCTAAAAATAATTATTACAATAGGTACGTTTTTAAATAAAATTATTGATAAACAAAGCATTGGATGAGTCATTTAATGACTAAATTAGACCTTCATGATAAAGTCAAAGGAATCAGACTTTTTTTTTCATCTCTGGACCCTGGTAATGAGTTTTTGGGTGAGTTTGTGATGTTTCTATTATAAAGACTGAATTCTTGCTGTTGAATGATGAAAAAAACAGCCTTATTTTACTGATTTAAAATGTTTTTTCAGCAATAGCAATACCTAAGCAATTATTTTTGTATAAGAAAAATAAAGGACACATGTTCATATTGCATGAAAAAACCTATATTTAAATGATTTACCTTTAAATCTTCTGGAAGTACAGTTTCAGACAGAATATCTGCCATTTTATGAGGAAAAATAGGAAATTTGCTGTTGCTGAAAAATCACAACTTTTTTTATCAACAAAATGTCAAAAATATACAAATAATCATGTGTCATTTGTGTCAAAGAAGAAGTTAGCTGGGGTGCGTTCGAAAACGTGGTTGTTGGTGCGAGAAATATTTTCGTTTTATCAAAATCAAAATCTCCATTAACACCTAAAGTCTGTTTTCTATTTAAATAAAATTCCCCAAGTCAAAAAATTAGTAACTATGTTGGCAACGCAAGCCTTTTCTACATAAAAAATTTGAAAGCATTGAAAATTTTAAACATTGTATTGCCAACATATTAGGCATTCCAGGTTGACGTCATAACCGATCCGCCATTTTAGCTGAGGGGCAAACAAAAGCCAAACATAACCTGATTTAATGTTATTTTCAATTAGGCATTCCATGTCACGTGACTTTGACAAGGTCCGCCATATTTGCTGAGGGGCAAACAAAGCCTGGATCATAGGCGATTTTAAGCCTGGAATGATTATTATTTGGTTATAACCAATGCATTTCCGCCGTCGCGGTTTTAACCCAAGTAGAAGAAGTTGTGACGTCACATATCAGCTGATTTGCTTTTGGTATTTACCACTTATAACAGATTATTTCATTCATTATAAAATAGACCCATCAGACAACGTCATTTTTTGAATGAATTTTGTTTAAATAAGTGATTATTTCACAAGACCTTGTTTATCAGCGATTAAATTTTTGTTTACCTTTTTTGACAGAATTTTGATAGAAATATTCTGACATAATAAATAGAACTCTTTAGATAGGATTGACACCAACAATTCAATCCTAATTATTCAGGAAATAATCTAGCCGTATACCACTCGACCTATAAATTTAAATGTATTAAACTATCCAAATATTTTTTGCATAATTCTGCTTTTTGGCAAATAGTTTCATGCAGAATAACTTTTAAATAAAAGCCCTCGACCGCTTCGCGTTCTCGGGCTTTTATTATGTTATTGTGCATTCAACTATTTTCCAAGCAAAATCATGCTCAAAATATGTTGCATAGTTTAATCAATTAAATTTAAAGGTCTTGTGATATAATATATGATTATAACCCAGCTTTGGACTTGGGTTAATCTTTTGGTTACAGCTTTTTGATGTTATTGTTATTATTTTTGGAATTTGTATTGGTGTTTTGTGATTTTGCAGTTGCGTTGTAGCCTGGCACAATGAAAGAAGTATACATTCACTCACTCACTGCAATTCACCATGTTTAGATCGAGGTTTAGATCATCCCCAAAGAAAAACTGTTCGATAAACGAGACTAACGAGAGATTCAGCTCCATTTTTTGTACCTAAACAAAAAACTATTGTTGAAACGAAAAAAAAAATAAGAATAATAAACATAATCCTACACTGCTATAACCAAATCATTTCAGCGGTCAGTTCCTTGGGTTATGATTCTTGAATGGTGGGGGGCTATGACGTCACACTTGGCTGTCAAAGTTGTCAACCAAAAGAATAACAACGGTATTTACCGATAAATAATCATTCCAGGCTGAAAATCGCCTCATATTGTTTACAGTGTTTTTTGAGTTTGTGCTTCGGAATTTTAGCGTTTTTTGATTTGTTCAATAAGTTTTAAGTTGTTTTTAGTTTTTGTGAATGAATGGAATGAATGAATGAATTTTTATTTACAGACATGCCACTTTACATTTCAACTCAACAATAGTAAACAAACAATTCATTAACAAAAATAATGCTTAAGAATCTAAATTGCTTAAAAAATAAAGAAGTTTGATACTAACAACCTTACAAATAAACTTCAGCAAAATAAATTTGTGGTAGAATGACTCCTTAAACGTTTTGACTGTTCTGATCGGTGCACAGATCTGGCATGTAGCTTAGCTTACTGGCTTGTTCATTCTGGGCTTTTATCAATTATCGTAGTATATCCTAAATTTGTACTGGGGACCCAATCCGGATTGTTTGTATCCTTAAATTCTGCTGGACTACCTAAAAGGTATTAAAAGTTACCTACTTGCAGAAACATAAACAACTTTTTTGATATACCGAGTTGAAGTGTTTTTGTATTTTAACAACAAGACAGTCATAAAACTTACCATTAACAAAATGTTTCGAACAAATTTGAGCATTTTCAACAACGTTGCAGTCAAATCTCCCCTTTTGAGGCATCTAACTCACATACTCCGTTGTTTTTTTGATAGCTCGTTTATGCGATTCCTTGATCTTTAAATGCTGCTGGGATCCTAAAAAACCTCACTTTATCCGTTTTAGCTCTATTGGAGCACCCAAAAACAGAGCTGGGCAAAGCCCTCAGTGAAAGGGCTTGAAGCACTAAGCCCTAAGCCCTTTCTCAAAGTGCTTTCAATTTCAAGCACAAATTCCTTTTTATTTTCAAAAGTGCTTCACAAGCACAAAGCCCTCAAAGTGCTTTGTGCTTGGCAAGCACAAAGCCCCCAAAGTAATTTATAAAGTGCTTGAAGCACATCAAAAGTGCTTGGGGTGCCTCAAAAAGGGCTTTGAAGCTCTTTAAATGTGCTTGAAGCTCTTTAAATGTGCTTGAAGTTCTTTAAATGTGCTTGAAGCTCTTTAATTGTGCTTGAAGCTCTTTAAATGTGCTTGAAGCTCTTCAAATGTGCTTGAAGCTCTTTAAATGTGCTTGACGCTCTTTAAATTTGCTTAAAGCTCTTTAAATTTGCATGCAGCTGCTGAATATGCCCTAAAATCTTAGTACTTCTAACAACGCTAGTGAGCAATAAAAATACAAAAGCTTACTTTCAATATCCTCAATTAATTTTACTAGAGAAACCTCATATTTTGTATTTTTTTGCAAATTACAATTGCAATAATTGTGAATGGTGAATGGTAGTGGTAACCAAAATAATTGTAAGTGTGGGTAATTTTTTTCCTATCCTTACACATCACAACAACTCAGAATAATTTCATGAAATTACTAAAATTGTATTATTTGTCATTTTCTTTGATGTTAACAGATGGCGTCAAAAAAAATTAGCATATCGATACTGGTATCGAATATGGATTTAAAATATCGATGCCATTTGACGAGTATCGATATTTTTAAAATATTTTACCTATTGAGAATAGAAACATCGATAAGCGAAAATCTAGATTCTAGATAAATATCAATCAAAAAATTTGGTGGTATGCGGTAAGCATTCCGACACAGAATAGATAACAGAATTAAGCAACAAAACACATCGATTCAAAATTTTTAGGTAGGGGATAGGTAAAATGATGGTTAATTCAAAGTTCTTTTAGAGTGCTTCAAGCCCTTTTAAAGTGCTTCAAGCTCTTTCAAAGTGCTTCAAGCCCTTTCAAAGTGCTTCAAGCCCTTTTAGAGTGCTTCAAGTCCTTTGAAAGTGCTTCAAGCCCTTTGAAAGTGCTTTAAGTCCTTTGGAAGTGCTTTCAGCTCCCAAAAGTGCTTCAAGCCCTCTAAAAGTAATTGAAGCTCATTGAAAGGGCTTGAATTACATTTTTCAATTACAAGTTACCAAGCACTTTTCTAAAGTAATTGACTTTGCAAGCCCCAATTACAAATATGTAAAAGGGCTTGAAGCACAGGGCTTTCAAGCCCTCGAAGTGCTTCAAGCACTTTTACAAGCACAAAGCACTCAAGCCCTGCCCAGCTCTGCCCAAAAACGCCACAAAACGAAGGCATCTTCACAAAATAAAACACAAAAATTCTCGGTTTGCATTGAAAATAACACTAGGGTGGGTATTATAAAACTGCTTTGACAGTTAACTTGAAGTTAACTTTTTGAATTACATGTAATTCCAGAAGTTAACTTTAAGTTAACTCTCAAAGTAGTTGTATAATACCCGCCAAATCAGGTTATGTTTGGCTTGTGTTTGCCCGTCAGCTTAAATGGCGGATCGGTTATGACGTCAACCTGGAATGCCTATTGCAAACCGAGAATTTTTGAAGTATTATTTTGTGAAGATGCCTTCGTTTTGTGGCGTTTTTGGGTGCTCCAATAGGGCTGAAAGGGATAAAGTGGGGTTTTTTAGGATTCCAGCAGCATTTAAAGATCGAGGGAATCGCATAAACGAGCTATCAAAAAAACAACGGAGTATGTGAATTAGATGCCTCAATAGGGGAGATTTGCCTGTAACGTTGTTAAAAATGCTCGAATTTGTTCGGAACATTTTGTTAATGGTAAGTTTTATGACTGTCTTGTTGTTAAAGGGGGTGGGACCCTTAAAAACGACTTAAGCTACTTAAATCAAGAAAAAAATTCTAAGATCTCTCGTGAAAACCGCAGTCCTGTATTCAAAATAGTATCCGACAAAATTCTTTAGGAAAATCAATTATGCAGGGAATTGTGATGTCACAACCGCCGAAATCGCAGTCTTCTGGTCGTTCAGTCGTCAGTGAACCGTACCCTATATTTTGAGTGGTTGCAATTCGCTCTAGGAGATAATTATCTTTTGTTTTGGAGAATTCTCACACGTGTTAATACTGTCTCTGAAAATTCAGTGTGACGTCACAAAAGCCTAGTTGTAACTTTAAACCGCCCTAACTCGAAAACGGACCGTCGTAGCAAGATGCGGTTTGAATATTTATTCTTAGATTTTCTTGCACTAAAACTCTAATTTTTGGGTCACACCCCCTTTAAAATACGAAAACACTTCATCTCGGCACATCAAAAAAGTTGTTTATGTTTCTACAAGTATATAGGTAACTTTTAATACCTTTTAGGTAGTCCAGCAGAATTTAAGGATACAAACAATCCGGATTGGGTCCCCAGTACAAATTTAGGATATACTACGATAATTGATAGACGCCCAGAATGAACAAGCCAGTAAGCTACATGCCAGATCTGTGCACCGCCGATCAGAAAAGTCAAAACATTTGAGGAGTCATTCTACCACAAATTTATTTTGCTAAAGTTTATTTGTAAGGTTGTTAGTATCAAAATTTTCTATTTTTTAAACAATTTAGATTCTAAGCATTATTTTTGTTAATAAATTGTTTGTTTACTACTATTGTTGAATTGAAATGTAAAGTGGCATGTCTGTAAATAAAGATTCATTCATTCATTCCATTCATTCACGAAAACTAAACACAACTTAAAATTTATTGAATAAATCAAAAAACGCAAAAATTCCAAAG